TTACGCAGTAATTTATTTATAGTTTATTTTAGTCATGTTTATTTTATGTTTTTAACATAATAATATAATATTGATGTTTTCTAATTTCTTATTATCATAGATTATATTTATTTTAGTTATTTTTTATTTAAACGATATCGCACCCATTGGTTAACTAGTCATAAAACTTTTGTATATACACCTATTTTCTAACTGCTAAACCAGTAGTTCAAAATGCTTATAAACACTAAACTACAATCTCTCGTTTTCGCAAACTTCCGCAGTTGCAACCTACCCGTTGAATTTAAACTAGTTATCCCTTAATAGTAATAGGATAATAGATGTCGTCAGCAAGGCTTATATTATAAGAATTCGTAAATGTAGAAGTATAAATGGACCCTCTCATCCGTAATTTTACCTACTTTTCCCTGCATTAAGTGTCATACAAAAAGGAGATCAATGCATTAGAGAATTGTAATGAAGTGTAACGCAATCTAAGGTGGTCAAACAAAAAATTTAACAGGGTTCATTTAATGACTTAGATAAAAATGAGTCCTATATAATTTTCAGATTTACCTACTACTAATTACTCCCATTATCAGAGAGGAGAGATAGTTAAGCGTTAGGACATCAGAAGCTCTCTAGTCCAAGCCATCAGGGTAAGTGATCTGGAGTTACATTGTTTTTTCAATTGTATTGATCGTCAAAGAAGAATACGTTTATAATCTTTTTTTGGACAAAGCTTTTTTTATTTGTATTTTTGACAAAAAAGAGCAAAGCTTTTGATAATTTAAGTCAAAAGAAGAATATGTTTGCAATTTACATACAAGTTACAATGAAATAAATCTTAAGACATATATATACAAAATATAATTTGTGGTTTGCATTCACATACAAGTCCTTTCTAGGAGAACTGATATAATATGTGGAGGCTGAGGATCGGAGCTAAGGCAGAAGATGACCCTTACTTGTCCACCACAACAACTACCTAGGAAGGCAGGTATGGGAGTTTGATGTCGGTGCAGGCTCTCCAGAGGAACTCTCTGAAGTTGACATGGCTCGACAGAATTTCTCCGACAATAGGTCATTATACAAGGCCAACGCCGATCTCCTTTGCGTATGCAGGTGAAACTTTTCACTGAAATGAGCATAAATTATACTAGTTATAGATATAACTATAATACGTTTTGTTTTTGGTTTTATAGTTTCTAAGGGAAAAGAAGTTCAACAGATGATTCCGCGAGTGAAGATAGAGAATGCAGAAAAATAACATATGAAGACGCAAAGATGGCTCCTGAGAAGAGGAATAGTATATATGGCAGCGTTGCAGTCTGATGATGGACATTGGGCAGCAGAAAACGCTGGTTGTATGTTCTTCAACGCCCCCTTTGTAAGTACTATCTTTAACTAAAAGGGCTTTTTGCCACCAAAAAAAAAAGAAACCTCAAATTCAAAAGTAATACATAATATAACGCAACTTTACCTTCCATTCCAAAAGCTGTTGGTCAATACTCTGTTCTAAAAATCTCCGCCTAGACCCGATTACTCCCCGCTTAATAGTTAGGCCCACCCTATCCGCCTCGATAATGACTAATCCCCTAAAAAAATCAGTTACCCGATTACTCTCCGCCTAATCCGCTACTTCCCGCCTAATCCGATGACTCCCCGCCTAATTTTACATATCTCGATTATTTTTAGATTGCAAGTATAAAAAAACTTTTTATTGTTGTTATTCAATCATTTAAATTGGGAGTTTGTGATGTTTTACAATAACTTATGTTCAAATTTTAATAAAAATCATAAATTTGTAATAAAAATCATAAAAATTTATCTCAAAAATACAGTTTTATATGTTTACTGCAATTTTGAAAATAATATTGATTAATATGTTTTAAAAATATTAAAATAATTCTAAAACTAATCTCCGATTAATCCCCGATTTTAATCCGATTTTCCGATTAATCGCTAGGCCCATACTAGCGCCCGACTAGCGCCTAGCGATTTTTTCAAACAAGGGTCAATACTGCCAATTCAAAAGTAATACGTGATATAATCCATCTTCATTGTCAAGTTTGTAAATTTTTTGATAAATAATACTTATAACCGTGAAATTTTTTAGAAGATACGTAAAGGGTTATATTGCGTATTATTTTATACTTCGTCGGAATGATATGGATTTTTGGAGATAGAGGATAAATTACGAAAATTGGCGAGTTTGAGTAGAAAACCTAACTAAAATTATCGTTTTTTAAAAAATACTAGAAAATAACCAATGGTGTAAAAATAATTAGGTCATATGCTTGTATATCACTGGCCATCTGGATAAAATCTTCTCTCCAGAGCATCGGAAGGAGTGTTGCGTTACTTGTACAACCATCAGGTACTTCCTTGACTCAATAGAATATCTCTTTAAATATTTATCTATACTAGTACTTTTGAAGTACATTTTATATCGGGTGGGTTAAAAATTTATCCGAGATTTTTGATACCCAATCCGATACAAAATTTACTTCAATATTTTACATCATATTTTTTTTAGATCGGGTCAAAACATATCCGAAATTGTGAATCAGATATTCCATATTTAAAAATATAGATATTTAAAAGACTTGGTTAAGGTTTAAAATTACGATTCTTCTATCATCTTTGTTTGAACTTTCTTTAACTATTTGAATCATCATATAATACATAAGTTAAAAAAAAAATTTAATTATTTTTTCTGCATATACTGGTATTCAAAATTTTAAAAACGGATATATATTACCCAATTGACGAAAATGTGTGTATTCAACGTCCCGTATTGGCTAAAATGTTTAGACAATAATTCAGAATCAATGAATCATATTATAAATAATATCAAAATGAATTCAACTCTGAATGAATAGAAAGCTTAACTTAACAAACACCCAAATTTAAAAGTTTATATACCGTTTAATTCCGTTTTAGTTAACTGCTTAATTTTACCGGAAATATTTTCTTTTAGACCTTTAAAAATTTTTAAATAATATAATATATATATTTAAATAAAAAGTTATAATATTATGAACATTTGATCATATATAAAGAATTACAATACACAGGACGGGTTATATTGCAAGACGGAGTTTTATGGCGTGACGAGTTTTTAAGAAGTTTTAAATATTATAATTTATATATTTAAAATCAATCAAAGTTTATAATATTAAGAACATTTGAACATATATAAAGGGTTAAAATAACACGGGAATGTTATACTGCATGACATGGTTATATGACGGGACGGGTTTGAATCAAAATTTAAACATCATTAACCCGCTACTTCAATACGGGTTAAATCTTACATTTTATAATTTTTTAACATCACCAATATTAAACATATCAAATGATTTTGATTAAAATCAAAATTGTATAACACAAGAATCATTATGTGGTCTACCGTTATTGAATAATTGTAAATTATAAATGATAAATGTCTTATAAAATGATACAATGTGTAATTTTTATATATAATATATAATCATTAATTTAAAAAAATATTAATTTTAAAAACAAATCGTTCAGCGGTATACCGCGGGTTAAAATCTAGTTAGAAGAAAAGATTCAACTTTAAACCCATACATTATTTATTTTAATTATCTTGTCCACAGTTGTATCCATGTGACTTTAATACTTTTTCCATTCTTTTTCCAAAATGGATAAAATCTTATCATCAAGAACGACGATGGTGGTTGGGGAATAGACGTAGAAAGCCACAGTTTTATGTTCTGCACGGTCATCAACTACATCTGCCTACGAATATTCGGAGTTGACCCCGATCATGATGGTACAAAAGTCCTTGTGCAAGGGCTCGTAAATGGATCATTGACCACGGTGGGTGCTACCTATACGCCATTGTTCGGAAAAGCTTGGCTTTCGGTATGTCTCATATAGAATGGCCAACTAAAGATAATACTTTCCCTTGATCATCATCTTAATTTGGTAGTACTATATTCCCATAATTAATATTTTTTTTTGTTCAAATTATTAGGTTCTTGGAGTGTATGAATGGTCGGGTTGCAAGCCCATACCACCAGAGTTCTGGTTCCTTCCTTCTTATTTTCCTATTAATGGAGGTTTGTGTTTGAATAATTATGTATTGGTTATGATTTTATATTTTTAATTTATTTTAAATATTTTCATATACATATACATGCAGGTACTCTCTGGATTTATCTGCGGGATATTTTCATGGCATTGTCCTATTTGTATGGTATAAAATTTGTAGCGACAACCTACACCTCTCATTCTACAGCTCCGTGAAGAGCTTTACCCTGAGGCTTATGCTGATATTGTTTGGAGCCAAGCTCGGAATCGATGCGCAAAAGTAAAGTTTAAAGTCATATATATAACGCATAGTATGCTTATTATTTGTTGGGTATGGAGAAAATAAAGATTAACTAGCTCTTTAATGTATATTAGAAAACCAAGATTAATTGGTACCTACCAAATGTGATGATGATGCAGGAAGATCTATACTATCCACAGAATTTGGTACAAGATTTATTTTGGAAAAGCGTTTACATGTTTTCGGAGAATATCTTAAATCGATGGCCTTTTAACAAGCTCATAAGAGAGAAGCTATCCGAACGGCAATGGAACTAATTCATTACCATGACGAAGCTACCAACTACATTACCGGTGGAGCCGTGCCAAAGGTAAGTGATATTAGCAAGAAGAAGAGTAAACTAGAAGAAGAAAAACTAAAAAAGTGATGGTTTCTTACTAATTATATTAGGTGTTTCATATGCTTGCTTGTTGGGTTGAAGATCCAGAGAGTGATTATTTCAAAAAACATCTTGCTCGAGTCCCTGGTTTCATATGGATTGCGGAAGACGGCCTAAAAATTTAGTATGCTTATTCGGTTTTGTCTACAACTTATGAAATGTTGGTGACACTAGAAAATTTATTAGTTACAAGCCCAGTCGGTTAGTTCTTGTGAACTTTAAACCATTTTTGCGAGATAACAATAAATTTATAAACATAATGTGTAGACTTTTGGTAGCCAAATATGGGACAACAGCCTTCGTGCTACAAGTCATGTTAGCCGCTGATATGGACGATGAAATAAGGTCAACGCTCATAAAGGGATACTCATTCTTGAGGAAATCTCAGTTTACAGAGAACCCTCCCGGTGACTATATCAAAATGTTTAGAGACCTATCTAAAGGAGGGTGGGGTTTTTCAGACAAAGATCAAGGATGGTCTGTTTCAGATTGTACTTCTGAAAGTTTAGAGGTGGGCATTTTTCTCTCTTTGAATTCCCTAGATAAAGATTTGATTACTAATTCGTATGTCATGTGGCTAGTGTTGCCTAATCTTTGAAAGCATGCCGTCCGAGTTCATTGGTGAGAAAATGGATATGGAGAGGCTTTATGATGCTGTCAATATGCTTCTTTATTTACAGGTAAGTTAACTGTTGTTATTATTATATAACCTCACAAGCTGATTAACTTACAAATCTCTTAACAACAGAGCAAAAATGGAGGCATAGCCATATGGGAGGCAGCGCGTGGGAAAAAATGGCTTGAGGTGGTTATCATTTCTTGGTTTCTAATTTTATTTAACTTTGGATATAAAGGAATAAAACTTTCCAATTCAAATGCAGTGGCTTAGTCCCATAGAGTTTGTTGAAGACACTATTCTCGAGCATGAGTATCTAGAATGCACCGGGTCAGCAATAGTAGTGTTGGCTCGTTTCATGAAACAGTTTTCCAAGGCACAGAACAAAAGAAGTAGAAAGCTTTATAACAAAGGGTGTAAAATACATAGAAAGTTTGCAAACGGCGGATGGTTCGTGGTATGGAAATTGGGGAGTGTGCTTCATTTATGCGACCTTCTTTGCTGTCCGAGGTTTAGTGGCTGCGGGAAAGACTTACCATAGCTCTGAGCCGATCCGTAGAGCGGTTCAGTTCCTTCTTAAGATACAAAATGTTGAAGGCGGTTGGGGAGAGAGTTATCTCTCTTGCCCCAACAAGAAATATATTCCTTTGGAGGGGAACAAGAGCAATATGGTTAATACAGGACAAGCATTGATGGTTCTAATATTGAGTGGTCAGATGGAGCGAGATCCTTTACTGGTTTCATCGTGCTGCGAAAGTCTTAATCAATTCGCAGATGGATGACGGTGATTTCCACAAGAGGTGTTTCTTCTTACCCTATTTTTGTTCAGAATTTTCAAAATTACTATGATATTATTTTGATCATTTATGTTATATATATTTGCAGGATATAAGAGGGGTTTACAAAATGAATGTGCTGTTAAATTATGCTACCTATAGAAACATCTTCCCTCTTTGGGCACTCACACATTACACCAAGGCTCTGAGCCTGCTCCTCTAAATTCTGATGACGACACCACATATGATACTCATTTTTCCTTTTTTCTTATTTTCTTCTCTTTTAATTTCTTTTCCATGTAAAAACAATAATAGAGCTAATCTATATAAAAATCTTTTCTTATCGTTTAATAAAATTCATTAGAATTTTAAAAAGAAATTTTCACAAAAAGGACACAAATGAGTTTTTCTCTCACCAATTGACAAAGTGAACTTGGTCTTTCACGTTTTGACAATTTGCCAACTTTCAGACGAAATTGCCCTCAGCTACAAACGTAACATTGCTGGTTTGGTTTCTCACATTTTATTTTATTTTGTTTTATTTATTTTTAACTAAAAACAATTAAACTGAAAGAAACGCAGGAGAGAAGAGGAGGAAAAATCTGGGTTGAAACCGTTTTTCAATCTTCTATCTAATCTCTCATTCTTTGTCTATTATCTGGAGAAGAGCAAAACCCAACAAAATTGCCGCGAATTCCGTTTCGAATCCTCTTTAAATCTTTCATTCTGCTTCGGTTTTCCCTAGACGAGCAAAAGCTAACTAATTTCCGGCGATTAAGATACCAGAGTACAGATGACCGGGAAAAAAACGAGACTATTGAAGAAGAAGAGTCGGCGCCGCTCGAATGTAATGACAAGTTCAGCGGAGAGGCAAGTGAATTTACAAGATTATATGTAAAGAGAATTCAAAAGGTAAAAAAAAACAAGATTCTGAGATAACTGCTAATGACGGCCGCAAAATTAGGGTTGCAGAGGAGGATACTCAGGTTGAAGATGACTGGAAAAATACATTTATACCCTTCATCGAATTTCTTCTGTGTACGTATATGCAATTTACGGTGTACGTACACAAAAATATTTAGTGGAACTTATGTATATGGTTCGATATTAAAGTGGTTGTAATAAATATCAAACCACCCTCTACGAAAAAACTAACAATTAATGATTTGACTCCAAAATTTGAGCTATTTTGTTACTTATTCATATATATCTCAATAAAATTCATGCATATATAATAATTAAATAAAAATATATGGTGAAAAAATATTGTTCCTCATACTTCTGAAAAAGTTATGTATGTATACGTGTAATAATGTACGTACATCTTTGTTGGTGTTTAAATTTGTTAAGATAAATTTATTGATACAATAATAACCAATATTGGCGATGGTGGGGGTGTATTCTACGACGCTCCTACTGGAGATGAAGCCATTGTTATTTGATTTTTTTTTTGTTTCTAAATACACTCCCAACAAACAATGTCTCTCTTGCCATACTAATTTATATTTTGTCTCATCAACTCGGGTATTGACTAAATCATCAAAGACTAGAACAAAATTCACACAATTACCATTCACTTTACAGTTACCATGCCAATTTGTATATGTGTACGTCAAACATTTACCGTCAGATGATTTCTCGTGTACATATTTAGTAATGTACGTACATTTTTCTAAAAATCATGTTTTATCTCATGGTTATGACTCACAAATAGTTGAATATCACCATTCTCTCCAAAATAATCGATGTTTTTTCAGTTACGTACACGTTAATTAGTATACGTACATGTTTCTAATAATCAACTGAATTTTCATGTTAGCCCCACAGTAAGTTGAGTGTCACATCATTCCCGACATGTCATATCCCATATTTCTCAACAACAAAATCAGTCAACTTGTTGTAATGTAATCTTCGTCACTACCTTTATTACCGTTTATAGTTGTCATCTTCATCGTCCCCTTCCTCATCCTTTCTCTTTTTCGTCGTCCTCATCCTCTTTTTTCATCCTCTTTATCACTCTGTACTTCTTCTGCTTCATCTACTTCCTCATTGTTTTCACCACCGACCCATGGTCAGTTTCATCAGAAAGGTCCTCCATTTTTCTGTGTAATTATTAATTTAAAAATTTTTAATGGACGTTATGTTACATAATATTATTGGTGGATAATATATAAGATTCTAAACTAATATATAAGATTCGTAAACGTAGTGGGCTGAGTTGGGTCTTACATAAATCGTCAAAATTGAAACATCATCATTATTGAGCAACTCCACCTCACCACTTAGCAATATAGAAAAGCCATTATACACTTCGGAAGAATCATTCATTGTTAATAAATCGTACTTTGATTCAGGTAAAACCGATCTTCCAATACTAAATTGCACACCATTACCATTCATTTCAAATCTACCATGCCCATCTGTATTCGTGTACGTAAAACATTCACCTTTACATACTTCATCGGGTACCTTGTTAGTAGTGTACGTACATTCTTCCAAAAATCATATCTTACCTCCCAGTTAGGACTCACAAATGGTTAAATGTCGTAATTATTTCCAAAATGATCGATGCTTTTTCCATCATGTACACGTTCATTAGTATAAGTACATGTTTCTATTAATAAACTGAATTTCATGCTGTTCTCACAATCGGTTAGTGTCACGAACATCCCCGACATGTCCCATGTTGTAATGTAATCTTCGACAATACCTTTACTTCCGTTTATAGTCGGTTCTAGGATATTCCCCTACTTGACTAATCGTTTTCCATCGTCCTCTTCATCATCCTCTTTCTCTTTATCTTCTTTATTGTCATCTACTTCTTCTTCCTCATCTACTTTCTCATTGTTTTCATCCACATTTAGAGCCTCCAATGTGGTTTTTGTTGCATTTTCACCCCCCAAACCATGTTAGTTTCATCAGCCAAATCCTCCATCATGCACACACTATTCACACCATCCCTAACGGATTGGACAAATGACACAAACATGTTCTCTTGTCTATGATAGTTGTACTTATCTTCCTGCAAGTCCCCACACATGGGGCAATGACACCATTTCTCTGTCACGATTACTATCTCGTCTTTCACGTACACAGCACTACATGTTTACGTACATAATCACCAATATATGTACTTGTGTATGTTAACTTCTCTAATAAGCATGTGTGTGCACCTATGTATGCTGGTATATTGTGTCAATACTGATATTTGTGTCGTCCCACAAAGTCAGAAAAATAGTTCGTACTAGGCTAAACATTAAGATATTTGGTTTGGTTTCTAGTAAGATTCTTTTGGTACATGGTACTTTGGGTAGAATGATTTTATATCCATTTCTGGTATCTTAAAATTTTGGTCCGGTTCAGTTTGGTTTCAGATATTTTTGGTTCAGTTCCGGGTACCCAAAATATTGGTAAAAGTTAAAATTTATTAAATTTAAATAAAATTCGCTTAATTTTTTTTTGACAAATATAAGTAAAAAATTTGGATATTTTTCTGTCTTAAATAATTGACACCTAAGTGTTATAATTGTAATCTGGGTAATTGTGATATAATGTCTAAATAGAATTCATATGTTTGGTATATAACTATATTTCGGATACCCATTCGGTTCTCAGTTTGGTTCGGATTAGGTTTTGGTTCTTCAACTATGGTTATGGTTATTCAGGTATAAAAGTTTAAATTTCATTCAGATATTTTGTCAGTTTCGGGTTCAGTTCATATTTTTCGAATAGGTTCGGTTTGATTCTTTAATTTTAGGTATCCTTTTTAGGTGTAGTTCATACATGGTTTGAATGGTTTTGTTTTTATGTTCAAAAAATATTTTAAACATAAATATACAAATTATTTAGATGTTTATATACATATACGCACACAAATTACTACCGTGTACGTACACATGAGTACATGATATTGTTAGTTTTAAATTATCTTCAACAATACGATTAAAATTAAGAAATAAATTATTATTCAGAGTGTAAAATATATATGAAATGGATCTTAAAAGATAGAAAAAATTAAATTTTAATTGAAAGTACAAAAATAATAAATATTTATAAAAATGAAAAGAGACAAAATTGTGAAAAACAAAAAAAGGTGAAAAATAATAATAATCTTATTTATTTATATTTTTCTATTTTTTAATTTTGTTTTTACACTGTAGCTAACGAGAGTGTACTGTACATAGCGCGTGTACTGTAGCTAACGATATACAGTGTACGTAACCAACTCGCCTGACGATTTCGTTCGTTGTCACTGTACACCGGTTCGGCTAGAAGGGCATTTTCGTCTGAAATTGACATAATTGTCAAATGGTGAAAGTCTTTCCCCACTTTGTCAAAACCTGAAAGAAAAACATAAAACATGGGCCTGGCCTGTAATTAACCCAATTTTAAAGAACATAAACCTACAAAAAGATGTGAAAGATGTCATTTCCCTTAAAATATTATATTTGTGTTTTTCTATTCCATGTGACACTATAAGAAATTACACATTTAAGGTCAAGAAGACCGATGATTCTTTTTTTTTTTGGGAAAACCACGAATTTTAAATTAATGATTAAATTTGTTGTCTCAGATCATACAAAAACTATGGGTATGATTGGATGACTTTCTTGACGCAAAAAAAAAGAAGGAAAAAAAATAATTACGCTGGGGTTCACTGAAAATCTATACCATTTACGATTAAAGAGAAACATTTATTGTTCCTTATTTACTCTAACTTTATACCAATCATACCCTATAGATCATTTACCCAGGGGCCAACTGCATCGGGTGAATTCAAAAGTTTAACGAGATCAGTGAATCCATATTAGCTTTCGTTATTAATATACGCCTCGCACCGGGGATGCCTCTTACCAAAACTACAGTTGGTCCGCGGAACTATCGCTCCCTCGCGTGGAAGTTCCTTTTCAGCAGAAGCTGCATCAAGAGGGGCCCTAGCCTTGGCAAGGGTCCAAAATCCGACGTCTTTCACTTCCTATCAAGGTTAGATGTCCCGCTTTTCTCCACCTTATATTCCAGAAGAGGGTTCGGAGTCTTGTACACACAACCTTTCAAGGCCTAAGTTCTTGAAAGCTTTGGTAATCGTTGTCGTTATGAATAAAGAAGTTGAATTTTAACTAAAGTTTTATAGCATTGTGTAAAATATTAA